GGTTGATTTATTGCTTGTATTGTTATTTTAGAGTTATGCAAGTATTTTTAGTTATATTTGGACAATTTTGTAACCATGCATTAAACTCTTTAATAACCCACAGAACTAGACTTTTATGGCTGTATCAAATTGATAAATTACATCAGAAAGAAGGTAATTCTTAATTTTGAAAGATTTTCGTTCATTCATATTTACTACAAACGATTGTATGTCATAAAAAAATCTTTTTTTCTTTGTGAACTGGTGCTGATTCTAATACTGAAGTCTGTTGTTGTTGAGTCTGTTGTTCTCTGTATGTTTCAAAAGACAACTTTTATGAGAACAGCACCTTTCCTGTAGAATATTTCAGTTGACCATTTGGCATCTGTATGTCAACCATACCCATGGGAAGATAAAGAGTTCCTTCAACCAGCTCTTAAAGATGATCCACTGTTGTGGTTCGGTAAGTTTTATACAAACTGTGCAGACATAAGTTGATTTAAGGGGATTAATAGAAATCCACTGTTTTATTAGATTTTGATGAAGAACTGGAAAAATTTAAAGACTGTGAAGCAAGTTTAATGTCAAATGGACTGGGGAAAGATGGTGAAGGTATTGAATTTAAGAATTATTATATGTTAGCTATAATTGTATATATGTACATGACTTATGAACATTTTTTTTAAATTTTTAAAACTTTTTAAAATTTCTAAAGTTTGTCACTATGATATATCTAGTTAAGACTAGACAGGTCCTGTATTCAGAAAATAAGTACTATAACATCAGTTTTAATTTCCAGGCTTTGTGCCAATACAGCAGTACAATGAACTCAAGAGCAGGTAGGGTATATTTTTTTTTATCTAAGAACTACTGTAAGTTGTTTTATAATTCAGTATTCTCACCTGTTGCCATTATAATAATCACCACATCATTGCAGTTTCAACACCATTGCTATCCTAACTTCATTGTAGTCTTTGTGTTCTGTTACAAGTTATGCTTTATGGGTATTGGTTTTGTGTTTAAGGTTGTTATTAACAGAGGAAAGAGCAGTTAAAGCTGAAACTGATCTGGCAAAAGCTAGAGATGACATTAACCAATTAAGGTACCTCGATCCTGTTCTACTTCATTGAATAAATTATGACACTTATAATGCACTTTCTTAATTTTTCATTTTTTTTTAATTTCTCCCTTTTGAAATGTGAACGTTTTTTCTTAATTTTACTATTTTCAGAATATTAGCAAAATCATTTCTTGAAGATTATACTCCAAAAAACAGGTAAATAAATATGAAATGATGATTGGTGATAATTAATGAAAACATCATCTTTATCATCATTTGTACATATCATCCAACTAATAAACTTTCCTTATCTACAGAACACACAAAAGTTCCACAGGATCTTCAAGTAAAAATGTTGACGACAATGATGAGGACAGTGCTTACTTTAGCTCTTATGCTCACTTTGGAATCCATGAGGAAATGTTGAAGGTATTTACAAGCTGTTTCTCTTATGAACCACAGGAAACCCATACCACATACCTGAGAAAGTGTTTTCTGTCATACTGCAAAATGTACAGTAGACATATCTGATAATATGCGGATGGGCTAACATGACTGTGCTTTTTGTAATGTCGCTGTACTTTAGGATAAAGTAAGGACAGAGAGCTACAGAGATTTTATCTTGGGAAATCCACAATTTTTTCAGGATAAGGTAAGGCAGTTAGTACAACAGGAAATAAGCTTGTTATTAATAATAATAAATCATTCAATTAATCAGTCATTTATTCAAGACATTTAATATTCATTTGGATATAGGTTGTGCTCGATATTGGCTGTGGAACTGGTATTTTATCCATGTTTGCTGCTAAAGCTGGAGCTCGGCATGTAGTYGCMGTTGACCAGTCAGAAATCATATATCAAGCTATGGACATTGTACGGTAAGGCTGACTAGATTTCTTGAACCTACACAGTCTTTCTCAATGGATAGAATAGATATCACACTTTCACAATTGAAGTTCTTTACTTATTTTATATTTTTTTAATCAATTTCTCAGTGAAAATGGACTTGAAAAGGTTGTCACTTTGGTAAAAGGAAAAGCTGAAGAAATCTCACTTCCAGTCGATAAAGTAGATGTTATTATATCAGAATGGATGGGTTATTTCCTCTTGTTTGAGTCTATGTTGGATACTGTACTGTTTGCTAGAGATAAATGGCTCTCACCAACAGGAAAAGGTATGAAACAGAACTCAAAACAGTTGTCATTGAGTGTTGCCTATGCTATGTTCTATATATATTGTATTATTATTAATATTATGAGCAATAGTACAGTCCTATACATCAATTGTCAGCTCATAAGATTGTTCATGATTATTTTTACTTCAGTTTTTCCAGAACACTGCACAATTCATCTAATGGCAATGGGTACTCTTGAGAACCAACCAACAAAATTAAGCTTTTGGGATGATGTATATGGTATGACATATTACAAGGAGAAGTATTACTCTATCATCATTTTGCTTTGCCTCATTGTTCTTTGTTTAGCACAGTTAATACATCTAGTATACTAGGGTCTGGGATTCCTTGATGATCCAGTACTTGGCAGGAAACAAATTTGGTTTTCCCAAGAGTATAGTGACTGCACCACTGGTCATAGCTCTAGCTTTTAGAAACTAAAGATTAGATGGGAATGCATGTCAATTTTATTTCTCCCCACCCCTCACCAACATGAAAAGCTCTGTAAGAAAGACATACATAAAAATTCAAGGGAGGTTTTTTTTCGTAGGATTTAAAATGTCTTGTATGAARTCCTCTGTCAGTAAAGAGCCYTGTGTAGCMAATGTGGAWCCAAATGCCATAATWTCAACATCAAGTTGTATMAAGGTAAGTAATTACCTAAGCCCTGTGGCTSMSTCKYGT